ATCCCAAAACAGGGCCCCAGCCCCTGAAGTACACTCAAGAAATTGTTACACTGCTGTAATGCTACATTTTGTTTCTTAGGGATCTGGTATCCAGTAATTAGTTCAGTTTGGGAAATAACAGCATCCCAGAATTGGGCAACAAATTTACAGTGCCACCAACAAGGTATTAACATTCCAAATACTCCATAGCTTTTCCAACATTTGGGTGAAATTTGTGCATTTACCCGATGTAGCCACAACGGAGTTTTGTACCAGCGTGTCAGTAATTTATAAGCTAAAAGTTGTATCTTGAATGATTTTGAACAATAAACTGAAGATTTCCAAATTTTAACCCATTGAGAATCACTAATGTTAATTTTACAATCATTATTCCATGCTGTTTGATATTGTAAAGGTTTACTTACATTAAGTCCTATTAACAAGTTATATGTTTTTAGATAAAAAGCCCTTTCTGTATGGGAGAGTGATGTATTAAAAATCTTTCAAAGTTCAGAAGAGGTCTTCAATTTGATTTCATATATGGGGAGATTCCATCAAATATTTTAATTGGAGGTATTCATACCACAGAATAGTGCCTTTGTTTTTCTTTTCTAATTCCAGTTTATCTAATAAAATGCCACTTCATGAGATGTCCATGAATCTAGTTAGAGCTTATTTTCTCCATATAGAAAAGGAAGATCTACCGATGCCTGAAAGGAGCCATTTTTGATCCAAAAAGCCAGCAATAAGGGAGGGGAATGGAGCCAATAAATTTCAATATTTATCCCAAGTTTTGAATAAAAAAGATAAAAAGCTATTATATTTTTTGTGGTCTTTCATTAGGTTTATACCATTGTAAAGATTTAACAGTTTTGCGATATATTGTGTGTTCCTCTATAAACTGCCAGTCTGCCTGGTAGGAATCATAAAGTTTATACAGAGAGGATAACACTGACACTTTAAAGGATTTGACTATACTGATCTTATCTATCCAAGACAAATATGCATCTTTTTATTGAGTAATTGTGTGAGATATTATTTTGTCCAACTCTAAAAAAAAATGTGTTTGAATATATTCTGAGGATTTAGAGGTATGTTTATACCTAGGTATTTCCAACAGCTTTTGACCCATTAGTATGTATAATTATGTTTTATGTGTGAGATTTGATCCTGTGATAATGATATTGGATATATTAGAGATTTATTTTGGTTAACTTGCAGACCTGAAGATTTGCCAAAGTCTTGTAAGACAGATGTAATAACTTGTAAAGATTGTATAAGATTTGGTAAACAAAGAACCAATTCATCTGCAAAAAGACTAAGTTTGATTTGTGTGTTTTTAACTGTTATGCCCTGAACTAAAGAATTATCTCGAATAGCCTGAACTCAAGACTCAATTGCCAGAGCAAATAAGGGGGACAATGGGCAGCCCTGTCTTGTGCGTTTAGAGACTGGAAAATCTTGAGAATACATTTCATTTACTTGAAGAAGAAGAAGAAGAGATTGGATTTATACCCCGCCCTTCACTTAGGGGTCTCAGAGCGGCTTACAAACTCCTTTCCCTTTCCCTTTCCCTCCCCACAACAGACACCCTGTGAGGTGGGGGGGGGCTGAGAGAACTCTGACACAAACTGCTCTTTTTCAAGGACAGCTGTGCCAGAGCTTGTGACTGACCCAAGGTCACATCAGCAGGTGCAAGTGGAGGAGTGGGGAATCAAACCCAGTTCTCCCAGATTAGAGTCCGCGCACTTAACCACTACACCAAACTGGCTCTCTTGGACCTGGGCTTTTGGAGAGGTATATAAAGAATCACTGGCATTACTAAATTTGTCTCCAAAATTAATTTACTTGATCAATTCCTTCAAGTAAGGGATTTCAACACTATCAAAGGCCTTTTCAAGATCTAGTGATAGGAATAAAGATGATTTAATGTTATTGGATTTGCTATAATGGATTAAATTGATAATTTAAGATGGTATTATCCACCAGGTCTCTATTAGGAATAAATCCTGTCTGAACTTGATCAATATAAGCACCTATGATTTTGTTCATTCTAGATGCTAGAAGAGAGGTTAAAAAATTTAGGTCATTATTCAGCAATGAAATAGGATGATAGGCTTTGGGATTAGTCAAATCACATTCTTTTTTGGTATGAGTACAATTCTAGCGTATTTCCATGAATCGGGCACCTGTCCATTTAATAGTATAGAATTAAAGATGTCAGTCAGGGGACCTATCAGAATGTCACTATATATTTTATAAAATTCCCCTGGGAGGCCATCCTGTCCAGGAGATTTGTTGGATTTAATATTTTGAATAATATTAAGAACCTCTAGGCTTGTTATAGGTTTCTCAAGAAATTCTTCATGTTCTCCAGAGAGGATTTTAGGGCAAACTTTATGGGTTAAAAAAAAAAAACTCTCCCAAATTTGTTCTATAGGTCTATTTGCTGAACTATATTGTCATGTATAGTCATGTAGCAAAAGCCTATGTGATCTGTTCTGTGGAGGAGTGAAGTGTGCCCTAACGCAATTTATTTGATGAGAGGCCACTTGTTTGGATACTTTCCATGTAAGAATTCTGAAAGATTTAGGCAATCAGTGCCAAAACTTCTGTTTTAAAAAGAGATTTTTATTGATTTGAGATACTTCTAATGATTCTAGTTTTGTCCTTTCTATTAATAATTGGTTATGTACTTTAGAATTACATGGCTTTTTGTGTAATTCCTCCAGACGTTTAATTTGCAGAAGATCATTTTTAAGTTGGCTTTTTGTTTTTTTATAAGCAGAAGATAAAGATATAAATTTTCCCCTTAGTACTGCTTTAAGCGCATCCCAAACTACGTGTTGGGATACACCACAATTATTATTATTTTGCAAATATTCCTAAATTTCTTTTCTAATTTCAGTATTAATGGAGTAAATTGATAATAAACTTTTGTTAAGAGACCAGTTAAATTGTTTGTTTAAAGCATCAAAATTTAAAAGAGAACAATATACTGAAGCATGATCTAACCATCTTGCTAGTCCTATAGATGCGGAAAAAATCCTATAGATCAGAGAATTAGAAGTGAGAATATAATCAATGTATGAATTTGATACCTAGGTGCAAAGTAAGTATAATCTCTATCATTTGCATGCAGGGTCCTCCACATGTCACATGTCAAATTCTTTTAGTAAGTGAGAGAAGCCTAAATAAGGTCTGGTTTTATTCAGTCCCTGATGTCATTTTGTTTCTTATTTCAGCTCACCATACATATATTTAAACCACATTTGTTCCTGCATTGTTCTTTCTGCAAGGAACTTCATTTCTTTCATACAGCTCTTCCTGTTCTATTTGCCTCATATGTATGCCTCAAACTCTTCTTTGATATGGACTTTCCCCCTTTCTAAAAATAGTTCTGCTTTCCAGATGTTCCCTCAGCCTATTGTGTAAAGTTTCTATGGGGTTACATACCATTTCATTTTTCCCCTCAGCCTACTTTGGAAATGCTCGCCAGCCCCATTTTTATCCCCTAGCAGTTTGAAAGCAAGAAATTGCAAGTAGATAAATAGGGACCACTTCGGTGGGAAGGTAACAGCGTTCCGTGCGCCTTGGGGTTTAGTCATGCCAGCCACATGACCACGGAAACGTCTTCGGACAGCGCTGGCTCTTCGTCTTTGAAACGGAGATGAGCACTGCAACCCTAGAGTCGGATTCGACTGGCTTTCGAGCAAGGGAACCTTTACCTTTACCTACTGCTCTAGGACTCCAGTTTAAGGTGTTAATGCCCGCTATCTCAACTGCAGTTCAAATTCTCCCTATCATTTGCTTCAATTACATTCTGCTCAACCTCTCTCTCTTCACCACCCCACTGACATTTAATATAGTCAGATATCAACACAGAGCTTTTTTAAAAAATAAAAAGACATGATTTTGCTGCATCCTTAAGTACCAAATCCTTCTCTCTTCTGGTTCCCAGCCCATCTATAAACAGGACATCAATTCTAATAATGGAGGAATGATCATTCTTTTGTTTAATAAATTCTATTCATCCAGCTCTATTAGTCATGCAAAAAACTTAAGATGGTAAAGGAGGAGGCACTAGTACTGAATATATATAATCTATTACTGAATTACTTGCTTATGTTGGATTAAATTCTAGCAGAACAAGGAATATAGAGGTTGCAGGCCATTCTGTGCAGACCAAGACTGTGCACTAAAGATCAGGCTTTTCCCTTTATGAACATAAAGCGCATATTTCTAATCTTCATAGTTCTAGAGATGCTTAAAATGTGAAAACAAAATGAGAAAGGATTAAGTAATATTGGGGGAAATGCTTATATTCATTGGCATGGATCCAAACCCTCTTTTCCTATTACCTAAGAGCACCAGGGGTGGGTGGGGGGAGAGACACAGGTAGTGTATTTCCCAACTCCCGCCTTCTCACTGTAGACCTCCTCAGCACACCTCCTGCTGTTCCCAAGTGTTTGCTGATCCCAGTGGCAGCATTTGGGGGAAAAATCAGCAGTCATGCTGTTTTTTACTCAGGACACTTTGGATGCAAGCCACTGCATTAATTTCAAAGGACTTAAATAATTATTTTTTTGTAAATGTACACGTAACAGTTTTGCAGTAGCACTGCCAAAAGATTCCACCATATCCCCCATTTGTATTCTGGCATCCACAAGAAATTACAAAGCTGCATTATTCTGAACTCTGGTTTTAAGAACACGGTGCAAATCATGCTAAAGATGTGTGCTTTAAATAGGGAAGTTGGTTATAGCACTCCGATTTTGCATTCTCTCTAATTCAGCTCTTAGTGCCAAGCATGCTGCCCATCCTAAATCATCTAAGAGAAAGGCAGGTATACAAATATTTCAAACAAAGCAATGAATCCTGCTGTAGACCAAGTGCCATAAGTGGCACCAAATACACATGCCCTCACTCTTTGAGGAGAGAACTCCGAGATATCACAAATCTAAGCATCCAGCCCTCCCTAAGAGTTGGCCATTTAGGCTGGAGAGACATGACATCCCTACCTGATTGGATCTGAGAGGAAACACAGGCCCCAGGCAAGCTTGACCTTTTGCCAGAAAGAAAGCGCAGCAATGGCTCTCTTGAATGTGACTGGGATTGGTCTGTCTCCAAGATGAAACTTGCAGAAAGGTACTTTGCCAGCCTGCAAGAAGCATGTTAGCAACTATGTTAGCATGCTGTTACATAGACAATAATATGACCATATTTTAATTACATCATAATAAAACAATTTAGAATTGGTTCTGTTGAACAATTTATCTTCAAACTGAAAACATGTACAATGGTGTGAATCAGAAAAAAAACTATGTTTTATGATTTCAACCTACTGGAATATCTGATCCGTTGTTATATGTCTACAGGAATCGAAATTAATATCTTGAACGCTCTGTTTCCCTAAAAATTCATAACCTGCTAGAATTTTCCAGTGGAAGAGGTGGCATCTGGCTCAATCAACAGTGTTAATTTAGTAGCTGAAGCATGGGATAAAATGAAATAGAAGGTGTCCTGCTTTGTTTAAAGTTCCCTTAAGCTGAAATTTATATGATAGGTTTTGTAGCTGATTTACTGAGATCTGCATTAACTGTTCTTGCTGAAAAAAATGCAGAAGATAGGCATAGAAGCGAGAATATTAGATTTCTGACAATAGCTTTTCAAATGTTATTTCAAGTCTGAATGAGGTACAAAAGAATGCAACCAACCAAAATGTCACACCACTTTCTTTAGTGACAGCCCCCTGCAGTTCCGTCGGCATTTTTACCTTATAATAAGACACAACAGCTGCTTTTTTTCTTTCTAAAAAGTCTCACCTCTTTGAAAGCCTCCCTGAACTCTCCTCCAGGAGCCATTCCCAGCTGTTCTGTGATGTGCGCCGACACCTTCAGCAGCAACATTTGCATTAATCCAGACATGAGGCCATTCTAACGGGGAAGGAGGGGAAAGATAGAAAGGATTTCAAAAAAGGAGATTGCTTAATCTGTATAGTTTACCAAAAACAGGAGACAAACACATGGTGCTATTAACAGTAGCGAAGAAACATCAATTATTCTGGAAAAGGGGTAAAAATGCCACCAACTCTGCCCTTTCAAGCTGATCTACTGCTCAACGCGCACTGCATTATTTCAGCCACAATTGTACAAGATGGTTGCTTAAAAGCCTTTTGGAAACCTGCTAAGGAATAAAAGCGGTATCAAATAAAAATAGTACTAAATTAGGCTGCCTAGTTAAAACAGTCATTTTCCTACCTTGCCCAGAGGTGAAAAAGTAAATAGCAAGACTTAATTCAGAGTGCAGGTTTTTGGAATCAACATGCATCAAAACATACAAATGCTTATCACACATTATCTGTATGTGTGTGTGTGGCCCAAGAAACTGGCCATTTAAAAAAAATCATTTAAACATTTGGGAAAGTTCTAAACATGGAACTAATTAAAAACATGGCTAGATAAGAGTGTCCTCTTCACACAGATTCAGGTGTGGGGTAGCCGTGTTGGTCTGAAAGCAGCAGAACAAAGTCTGAGTCCAGCGGCACCTTTAAGATCTTTAAGAATATGTTGGAAAAATTGGCAAAAATAGTTAAATATTCAGAGGTTGCAATTAGGGTTGCCAAGTCCGAAGCTGTGCTGGAGCGGGGGACTACAGTGCAGCTCCAGGAGTGTGTGCGCGCGCACGCCACAACCCCGTCACCCGGAAGTGACGCGACATAGGATGACATAGTTTTCCCTCGGATGACCGTGGCCAAGGGAAGGGTTCACAGGATCTACAAAACAACAAAGACATCTAAGACTACATCTTTACAATTTGACCACACAGTCTAGAACAATGGAGATTCTTCTTCTTCTTGACCCCTAGAAGGAAATCATCTGAATGCATTAACCAATGATTGTTAGTAAATAGGCTTCAGTTTCCTGGGCTTTCTTCCCATTGGCTGTCTGCCAAGTTCCCTTCCAGGTCAGTCTAAACAATAGCACACAAGGTAAACACACATTAACCCTATAATGACTGAATTTTAGACCCTGCAACACACATATTTCCAACAGAATTCACCTCCATTTTGAAGAGACCTGAAATGCTTTTTTAAAAGTCCTGTGGGGGCTGAAAAATCAGTGAAAGGGGTAGGAGGAGGCAGAAGCCCGTCTTCAGTCCATGCCGTGGTGGTCTCGACCATAAATGGAATTCCATAGCATTCTTAAAGGTATTTCAGCGCTCTTCAAAATGGAGGTGTGTCCCCAGGGACAGCATCTCATCTAGTTTGGTCATAAAAATGGGGAGACCTGGGGGTTCAAGTATTTACTCTGGGTGATCTTGAGCCAGGCACTGTCTCTCAAGCACACCTACCTCACAGAGTTGCTGCTGGGATAAACTGGGGGGAAGGAAGAGAACCATATATGCTTCTCTTGTCTCCTTGGAGGAAGATCAGGATAAAAATGGACAGGTACATCAGAGTATCTTGATTGTTACTGAAACACTAATTATTGAAATAGAATTGACTCAAGCATCTCTACCCACTGAAACATGTCTCAGCTTGTTTAGTTTTTCTAAAACACTCTTCCTCCAAAGAGCTCAGTGTGGCATATAGAGGCTCTCTGCTCCTTTGAAGGCTGAGTATAAGAGCTCTGTAAAAGGGAAAAAAAACCCATCGTACAGGTAAAAGCAGTCCCCCCCATGTCAGCATCAATTTAGGCTAGAGCCACAGAGGAGAACTCAAGCTATAAAGCTGCTTTATATCTAGTCAGACTACTAGTTCATTGCAGGGTTAATTTCAACTAGCAGGAATTCTCCAGGATTTTCCCCAGCCCTTCAACTGGAGATGCTTTCCCTGAAGATGCCGGGAATTGACCCTGCAACTTATTGCATATGCTCTGTCAGTGACAGATAACCCTTCCCCACACTACGTTGCTTTCCTATACTTGCATTTTATGATAGGGGAGAAAGGCAAGGTGGTGGTGGTACATGCCCCCTTTCCAGCCAAAAATTCCAAGCTTCCATCTACCAATTCTCTTTGAGATCTCTGTTCAGCTGATTTCATCCTTGCCTAATAGCCCAGTGAGGAAGTTAGGCAAAGTAAGTCTATGCATATCCTATCCCTCCCCCCAAACGCCACTGGACAATTTTTAAAAGGGAATTGCACTAGAGTTATTTACATCATATTAACTCTTCACAGGGCTTCCCTCGAAGGTCTGTACTGGATAGCAGCAAGCAGAACAAAGTCATCACTGCACACCTGCCTCTCTACTGTTTTTGGATTCGGAATTCAGAATATCCAGAAAAAAATAGGATAGTAACAAGGACAATAGCAAAAGGGTTAAGGGTGCACTATTAACTACACTACTGCAGCCCTTCAACTGGGCCCTGAATATGCCATTTATATACCCACTTTTTTCCTAATGGGGACCCAAAATTGCTTATAACATTTCCCCCTTCTCCATTTCATCAGTTTTATACTACGAGATAAGTTAGTCTGAGAGGGTATAACTGGCCCAAGATCACTTAGCAAGCTTTCGTGGCATAGTGGAGATTCAAACTTGAGTCTCTGAAATCCTGCTCTACACTCTAACCAACACACCATCTTCCATACTGATGCAGTTCTCTTCAACCCTGCTTCTATCTCTTTGAGTCACTCAAACAGGAAAATCCAAGAGAATAGTTACAATCGGGCAATTCCCAACAATATGTGGACCCAGCTAGTAATAATTCTGTGAGTCTCCAGTTAGGATTTAACCCTGTCACTTGATTTGTGTGTAATGCTGCTCCCCGTGTGCTTCTATGAATGGAAATGCTAACGAACTGCTAAGGACCAAACTAGAAACTTCTCCTCCACGCCACAGTCCAGACCAGGATTGGCCCCTGCACTATTTGTAAAGTGAGGGAATTCCAGTGGTAAAATGGCAACAGTGTCCTCAGGGACATCATATCATCTAGTTCAGGCCTCAGACAGCACAATAAGCCTCTGTCCTCCACCCAGGCACCAACACTATGTGCTCACTGACATCTCAGCTGCACAAGGGTTCTAAAAAGAGAGAAAAAATTCTTTCAATTGGTCTGCACTACATTTCTTCATGCACACCAACAGATAATTCTGCCACATAGGAACTTGTACCTGCTTTATAGCTTGCTGAAGTTTCTCCAGATTTATTTCTTTGGCTTCCTTTAGTAATGTTCTCTCATCCATTTTTAACATAGAAACTCTATATTGGCATAGCTCGACCACGACCACATCAGGCTGGACCTCCTGTATGGTCTGAAAAGAGATCAATTTTGTCACATTGCCTTGCACACAATATTAAAAAGCATTCAACACAGTACCAGTTTTTAAACAACTGGAATAAATCTGCAAGCATACAGAAGTCAGTGTCACAAATCATAAGGAATCACTTCTTCCTCCCACTCCTTACTGCTGGCTCTGGCTCCTCCCTGCTTCCGTTCACCATCATGACAGAGTTCAGGCACCATTTTGAACTGCTGTGGTAGCCACAATGGACACCACAACATCCGCCACAGCATAGGATGTGAGGTTCTTGCCCTGGCATTATTTACTTACTAAGAAAATGTGTATGCCACCTCTCCAGGGAACCCGCCTGAGGATTTGGGGAGAAGGAGCTCTTTGGGCCTCAGCACACTCAGTGGCCATAGTAGCTGGCCCCGCTGTGCATATCTGGATATCCCCAAGGCAACCACACCCTTGGGAATTAGAAACAATGATGTATGCTTTCAGCCACAGTTGCAACTCCTTAGTTTTGAATATTTAAAAAATGAAAATCCAGGGTTACTGAAAGCATTTGTGCATCCTCTGTCACGAGAAATGGTCACTTCTGTAACAATCAACCTGGTTAAACTCATCAGTGTTTGGCATCTCATAAATTTAAAGCAATTTCCTGATATGTCACCCAAGTATTAAAGAGTAACACGGTGAGAGTTCCATATCAAACACTATTCTTCCGCTGTTCCCAAACTGAGATGAAAAGCTTGAGATTGCACCTTTGATTTTCAAAGTGATCTGACTTTACTACTCTCAGCAACATCAGATGTGAGGGGGGAGTCCTGTTCTTCTTCACGAATCATCTTTTGGATCACGTGCTTGATTGGTTTTTACTAGTTTTTTTGGGGGGGTCAGTTGTCCAGTTTCCTATAAAGTTAGTCTAGAACCATCTGGCACAAATTTTCCATGCATGGTCAAATAATAACTTCAGGATCAGTGATGGGCCAATGATCATCTTGCTGCATCTCCTACCTGCTGTTTGTAACTTATGCTGATTTGAAGATGTTGTAACCTGCTTGCCTTCAGTTCTGTAAGCATATCCTAGGAAGCTGCAGCTGCTATTTTATTGGGACAGGGGAATCAAATCATCCTTGCAGAGATATGGTGGTCAGAACCCCCCCCCCCCCAACATCGTTGACACCCTGAAATAGAAAAGGTCTATATGTTTTTTGTAACTAGTTACCTTCACTACATCTCTTTTGCTGCTATCACTAAAGTGGGCAGTGCCAACCACGTACACTTTAGAACCCTCCTCCGTGGCCAGTTCTGTCACAGTACTCGGAAGGCTGGGCTTTTTCTGCCTCTTCTTCATCTTCATCTCCAGCAGTATTTTTAAGGCATCTGCATCAGCTACATATATTTTAACAAAAAGACATACATATCTGTGAACTGGAAGTGAATGTAATTAAAGGTTTATTATTAGGATCGGGGGGGAGGGGGAGATAGAGCAAAAGTTTTAGAAAACTGCTCCCTTGGTTACAATTTTTGTGCCCTGATCAACACCTCCTTCCTTTCCCAATTTGCAGTTTCAGTGCTGTTAAAACTAAAATCTGGAAGGGGCATGAGGGACGGTCTCCCAAGGTAATCCCAATTGATCAGGGATTATATAGATACTTTACAGGATGCTGTATCATCATATAGCCAATCAGATTTGGCTACACAATGATACCACAAAGCACAAAGTGAGTGCAATATTTCCATTTTTGCCCTGTTCCACAGCTCTCCACTATGCTATTAGTAGAAGAAGCACATTTCCTAAGAGCAAAGTTTTGCACAAGACACCCCCCGGACTCTGCCTTAGTTTAAGCAACCACAGGAATTGATGTACTGTGCAGCACTAATATGACATTACTGCACTCAGATCTTTTTCTAGACTTGTGTACACCAGATCCTTAGATATATACACTGTCTCAGGAGTTCAACATCATCAGTGCCCTAGCAAGGATAGTTATCCACCACACTTGGCTTGTAGCTCCCAGACAACCTATTCAAGGCATCCATCTAGGTTGCAATGCCAAGAGATGTCAACAACTGTTTAGATCTAATGGTATTAAAAATGACTGATGGTGCAATACTAAAAAGAGTTACACCCTTCTAAATCCCTGAAGTCAGTAGGCTCAGAAGGGTATAACTCTGTTTAGGATTGCACAGTCGGTTAGTCAGACCAAACACATTGTGTAAAGAGAGAACTTTAAAAGCCATCCGTCAGGAAGGAAAAAAACACCCTTTGCCAGGTTGAGAATGAGAACATACTTATTTCCTGAAATGTACTGGGGTTTTTTTTATCTATCAGAAATGCCCTACTCTGATGTGAATAATGAAGGATTGACAGTTAATAGTTGCATTCTGCCTACATAAGGCATTAAAAATCCAACTGATGTAGTGATAAAATGTCTGGTACATGCAAGAAGTTACCCCAAGTCATACCTTGATTAAACTGAACCTCTGAATCAATATTGTTTCATATGCACAAAGACACAATCAGTATGGTGCAGCCCTCAGACTGACAAGGACTGGAAAGTCCCACGTTCCTATCATGACATGGCTGTCAACCTCACTAAGTGGCCTAAGCTCAGACCACTGCCCTCTGTCAACCTCTCTCACAAGTCTGCTATATGGATAAGATCAAGACGGGTAGTCATGTTTGTCTGTAGCAGCAGAAAAGAGCAAGAGTCCAGCAGCACCTTAAGGACTAACAAAATTTGTGGCAGGGGAAGTGACTCATGAAAGCTCAAATCCTGCCACAAATAAGGTGCCTACTGGCTCTTTTCTACTATATGGATAAACATGAGGTTACTTATTTCCTTCATTTATATCCTGCCTCCCCACCACCACCAAGGGGGACCCAAAGTGGCTTACACTTTCCGCTGCCACTTTATCCTTGCAAAAACTACCCTGTGAGACAGGTAGGCTAAGAGTCTGTAACTGGTCCAAACTCACCCAGCAAAGCTTCCATGGCAGAGTGGGGATTCAAACCTGGATCTCCCAGATCCTGGCCCTGCACTCTAACCAGTGCACCACACTAGTCAACCACATGCAGCACCGTGAGCTCTTTGGAAGAAAGGCAAGATAGATGTGACAAACTGGACAGTGATCAGTTCAGGGTTGGCTGAGGCTGGGAGGGCGGGGTAAAAATCTGAATAAATAAATAAATAAATAATCGCAGACGTAACTCCACCCTCCCCTTCTATATAAGGGCTAATTTCTTTAGGGAAAGGAAGCTAAAGCCTGCCTATATAAGGGCTAATTTCTTTAGGGAAAGGAAGCTAAAGCCTGCCTCACAATATTTGATTTTGTATGCATGCTCACTAGCCTCAGGCCTGGCCTACATATGCAGTAGAATGAAGTGGCAGACTGGGCTGGATCATGTCAAGCTTTAAGACTGGGTTAACATAAGAACATAAGAGACGCCAGTGTTGGATCAGGCCAAAGGCCCATCCAGTCCAACACTCTGTATCACACAGTGGCCAAAAATACCAGGTGCCATCAGGAGGTCCACCAGTGGGTCCAGGATATTAGAAGCCCTCCCACTGTTGACCCCCCCCCAAGCACCAAGAAGACAGAGCATCACTTGCCCCAGAGCCCCTAGCTATACCTTGTGGCTAATAGCCACTGATGGACCTCTGCTCCATATGCTTATCTAATTCCCTTTTGAAGCCGTCCATGCTTGTAGCACCCACCACTTCCTGTGGCAGTGAATTCCATGTGTTAATCACTCTTTGGGTGAAGAAGTACTTCCTTTTATCCGTTCTAACCCGACCGCTCTGCAGTTTCATGGAGTGCCCACGAGTTCTTGTATTGTGAGAAAGGGAGAAAAGTACCTCTTTCTTTACCTGCTCTTTCCCATGCATAATCTTATAAACCTCGATCATGTCACCCCTCAGTCGTCTTTTCTCCAAGCTAAAGAGCCCTAAGCGCTTTAACCTTTCCTCATAGGGAAAGTGTTCCAACCCTTTTATCATTCGAGTTGCCCTTTTCTGCACTTTTTCCAAAGCTATAATATCCTTTTTAAGGTGTGGTGACCAGAACTTCACAGTATTCCAAATGAGGTTGCACCATTGATTTATATAGGGGCATTATGATATTGGCTGGTCTTTCCTTTCCTAATAATCCCCAGTATAGCATTGGCCTTTTTTATTGCAGTCACGCACTGTCTCGACATTTTCAGTGAGTTATCTACTACAACTCCCAAGATCTCTCTCATGTTCAGTCTCTGCCAGTTCAGACCCCATCAATGTGTATTTATATTTAGGATTTTTGGCTCCAATGTGCATCACCTTGCACTTGGCCACATTGAACCCCATTTGCCATGTTGACGCCCACTTGCCCATCCTTGACAGATCCCTCTGGAGTGCCTCACAATCCTCACTGGTTTTCACCACCCTGCAACTTCGTATCATCTGCAAATTTAGCCACTTCACTGCCTACTCCCAACTCCAAATCATTAATGAACAAGTTAAAAAGCATTGGACCAAGTACTGATCCCTGCGGTACTCCACTGCGGCATCTCCACTGAGAAAATTGCCCATTTATACTCACTCTCTGTTTTCTATTAATTAGCCAGTTTTTGATCCATAAAAGGACTTGTCCTTTTATCCTATGATTTTTGAGCTTACTTAGGAGCCTTTGATGAGGAACTTTATCAAAAGCTTTCTGGAAGTCAAGGTAAACAATATCTATTGGATCCCCCTTGTCCACAGCTGAATGGCCTCCCAATATAGTTTAGTGGTTAGTATTGGACTGGAATGTGGGAGACCTGGGTTCAAATCCACACTGCCATGGAAGCTTGCTGGGTGACTTTGGGATAGTCACATGCTCTCAGCCTACACTACCTCACAGGGTTGCTGTGAAGACAAAATTGAGGGCTGGAGAACAAGATAAGCTGCTTTGAGTCTCCAGGGGGGAGAAAGGCAGAAATAAATTAAAGAACTAAATAAATAAAGCCAAAAAAATGCACACTAGGGAGAAAAAGTCTCACTCTGCCAGTTTTTTTGGTAGCCAGGAGACTGGTTTTAATGCTGGTGAGCATTCAAAGCATTCCCCTCACACACACAGCCTTGATTTACACAAGGAAGATAATGAGGTGGCATTAATGAGTGGCATCACTTTTGAATGCAAAACAAGGGCTGCAATTTGGAATGCCCCCCCCCATCTAGAAGTCACTGCAAACAGAAAACAGCACACCAGCAAAGACAAGGGACCAAACCCTTTCCCCTGCTCTATTAGTCTTCTATTTGCAGCAAGTTATTGATGTAAAGAAGCACTCAGAACCGCAATCTACCACCTGCAGTCTGAAATGGTGCAATCCATCCTTCCTCCTCAATATTCTACCACCTCATTCCTCTGCCTGCATAAAATAGATCAGGCCACACACTTGCATCCTGAAACATTTTGTAGCATGACTTTTCATTCAAACTACTACTTCAGCCAAGTGATTTTTATCACACTGTGTAAAACTGTAACTTTCAAACAACCAGGCTAAGAACATACAAATATTTGGTGCCATGTCTGAAGCATCTTTTGGTCCATCTCCTTGGGCATCACCTGAAGATGCTGGTTCTACAGCAGCCTATGTTGAATAATAAAAAAGGAGGGGGGGGGGAAGAATTTTAATCTTTTTTTTGCATTCTTCTTCACATTGATCAATTTATAAAAAACCAGGTGTTGGTCAATTTAATACAGACTATAAAGTTGAGCTGTATGTAGCCCTTACAACTGTTTTCACTCCCTGGAAATCTATCCTATAGGAGTAAAACTGTAGTCCTCCTGTGCACACAACACCTCTGCATACTCATTTACTGAGTAGGGAAGGAGAGTGGGCATTCTTCACAGAGGATAACAGGCAAAAGCATGATTAGGATACATCAATGGTATTTATCAAAGTGTGGTTTTGAACACCAGTTAAAATTTAAACCAATTGTGACACACACACAATTCTACTGTATAAAGTCATATGGCTATCAAAGAGGAAGGAGGACTTCTTAACACTGGGCGAGCCCTTAGCTTTTTATTTGCAGCTTCTGTTGTGGATAGTTTAGCTCTCTCATTGGATTCATTTGTCACTTTCCTGCCTCTCTGCTTCCTGCATCATCTGGTGTGGACCGCACTGTACTAACAGATATGTAGGTTTGGTGAAAGAATATTCTAGGCTTTGAGTAGGGAGTTCAACCTGAGATCTCTTATTGCCTCAAGAAAAGCACTCTTAACCAACAGCCACATAAAGCCGCAAGAGTACTCTCTTTGTAGATGCACAGCTATCCTGGCCCTCAAATGTCATTTAATGGGAAGTGTGATGGTGTTCTTGGGAGCAAGACATCACTCCAAAGGACTGTCCATCACACTATTCCACTTATCATACTGTACTGGGGTTTCCAGTGGTAATTTAAAAGGTTTGAGGGGATAGAACCTGGGCCTGGGTAGAAACCCAAATTGAGGGATAATAAAGTAAACTGACCGGGACGAGCTGGCATTCTGCTGCCGACTTCGTTTTACACCAGCCCCAGCAAACCCCACTGAAATACTGTCACGTGTTTTTATGCTTAGTTACTCAGAGAGGGGAACTTCAAAGATCTGCTATTTCCACAGATCTTTAATTTATCCTTTTGTTAAACTAACCCTTCTCTCCACATCTAGCTTCCAACTAGCAAACCTCTGAAAGAGCAATCCTCAGCAAGTCTACTCAGAAGTAAGATGTTTTATTGAGAAGGGCTTACTCCCAGGAAAGTTCTCACAGGATTGCAGTATAAAACTCCATCTGTCAGATTTTAACCTTTTCCAGCTCCTATCCGATGGTTCAATGAACCACACTTATTGGGTTCTGTATAGCTGGGGTAAACTTCTGTCCTCTCCCTGTTACTGCAAGATTATCAACATTCAGGCAGACAACAGTAGCAAGAAAATACTGAGTAGGAAATGTTTACCCTCACATTTGATGGATGAGAGAATAAGTTAGTAAGGTAGGAGGAGGAGTGAGTGAACTTCAGCCTGAAGGCTCAGAACCAGTTCAATACATACAACAGATACACTCCCACACAAATATAACAAATCTGGCTGTTGCCCATGAGAAGTGCATGCGGCAATAAACTAATTTTCTCTCTGAGGTGGTATGGCATATTTTGAGTTTTGGTTTCTACAGCCCTTTAGAAATGCTGCACCAGTTCTTCCTACTGGCTACTTTGGATACTGTTGCTCTCAAAACCTTACCTCCTGAGGCTGATCGCCCTGCATCACTGGAATGTCCTTTCAACGGCCAAAGATGACCTGTGAAACAGTACAGAAGGAAGGATATGAAATACCTAACTGACAATGATTAAAGCATTCATTGAAAAAGATACAGCCAGTACTCTTCCGAAGTGACAGAAGCAAGAAATACCCAAAAGAAATTGGCTTAAAACCTATAACCTATAACAGTTTGGTGTAGTGGTTAAGTGTGCGGACTCTAATCTGGGAGAACGGGGTTTGATTCCCCACTCCTCCACTTGCACCTGCTGATGTGACCTTGGGTCAGTCGCAAGCTCTGGCACAGCTGTCCTTGAAAAAGAGCAGTTTGTGTCAGAGTTCTCTCAGCCCCACCCACCTCACAGGGTGTCTGTTGTGGGGAGGGGAAGGGAAAGGAGTTTGTAAGCCGCTCTGAGACACCTTTGGGTAGTGAAGGGCGGGGTATAAATCCAATCTCCTCTCCTCCTCTCCTCCTCCTCCACAAGTGTTGCAACTGAAGATAGTCAGAGACAGGATATGCAATCTGCCTCATGGGACTTTGGATTCCAGTGTTACACATTTGTCCAAAAGAAAAAAAAAACAGTGACGTATGAGGTTAAACATTTTGCCCAGAAGCCAGTAACAGATACATTAAGGTTGGTCACAATGACTTGAGCCAGTTTTCAATTATTCCCTGTCCTTCCATCTCTTGAAAGAGAATATTCTCCTCAGAAACACAAAATGCAAACAAATCACTTTCTTTGCACAGTGGTTCAGTTGCAAAGCCCATTTTCTACCAATAGGCCTCCCTATAGTGTAAATATATCCATCCCAAGCATGAAACATTCAAAGAAATACTGCCCATGGGGCAAATTGTTTGTAACCAAGTAACTCGACGACCATCTATGTGAGGGGTCAACTTGTGGCACAGGAAGCAGGAGTTTGTGACATTCCTGGGCTGGAGTAGAAAGGTCTGCCTCTCTCATGCTAGTGGAAGAGAATACCAGCAGCAAAAGTACTCCAAAATTATGGAATACATGTATAGTGCAGTGTCTACTGTGGTAGCTTTCATTTTGTGCCACAAGAATGGCCACTACCAGTCTAATCACACAGCAACAGATAGTGCACAACCTGGAAATTTAAGGAGGGAAATTATAATTTAAAATGTGAAATACTGTTTAATAGGAAAATGGTATCAGGAAGACTGAAAATCCTTACCAGATTTGCTTCCAGCTCTAATCACATTTGGTGACATATTAAATATCACACACACACACCAAAAATATAACCCACAATCCAAGCAAACTCGAACGGCCACCTGAGGAACTTGTAGAATGATGATGTTCCATGTGGCGGGAACAAACCATTATAAAACAACTGGAAACTGCTGGCTTCCTTGTGTTAGCCCATTTATGAGAATTCCAGCACTGAAAATGTTTTCATGATTCACATGAAGATTTCAGATATATTTTACAGGCAGTTGACTAAACTATAACTTTTGATCCATTTCATGCCACTGCTACTTAGAACAGCAAATACTGCCAACTTCTAAATTAAAAAGCACAAGAGAAAACAGGACATTAGACCCCCTACAGAATAAAATGATCTGTGCAACTGCACATTCATCTTTTGTACGATGCATGTATGAGGCATGTCCCATTGTGCTCAGCTCCAATTATACGTTCTTTCTGGACCCAGTTTACAGTCCAGTTAATCAACAAACCCTGGTTTGGCACTATGTGAAACAGGTATTATAGGAGAATCAGGCTCACTTGTACAAGCTAATTATTTCCATGGTAATTAATGGACATTTGCCATTTTGTCCAAGCCAGCAAACAAGGGCTTACTTTTACTGTGTAAAAACAGGATTGCTGCCTGGGATTGGCTGCAATCTTGATTTGCAGAGCAAAAGCAAACTGCCCGGTCTCCCCGTTCTGATGCTATGGGGGAAAATGTCTGGATCAGTCATATCTGCATTAAAGACAAAGCAATGTGCTTGTCTACATTTGATGCACTCCATATACTGCATCGTACAACACTTTTAAAACAATGTAATTTTATTCCCTATATATATATATATAATTAGAATTACAAAAGAAGATAAAAGCAAGGCTTGTTTACCAACAGGTATGAATAACTGGATATAAATACTGCATGAAAAAAGTCTTATGGTGACTAATATAGAAGACTATTAAGGCAGTAATGAACTTTTAGCTAAGGTAGCTTTCAGGAAGAAGTTATTTTTAACAAAATCTCATTAGAGTTCAGTTTTAAAGCCATTTCCACACTCTGAGAATAATGCATTATTGGATATTCCTTTCAATAAATAGAAATAGGCAACCCTATAAACAACAGATATTTTTTTTTAAAAAAAAATCCAGTTTCTTAGCAGCAGGATCCATTTCAGGTGCTTAGGAGAACATACTTCACAAGACAGTTCAGAGTCTTAAAGAGGAACATTACCCAAACTTCTTTGTCCTCTCCGGTTTCTGGAATTACCTGACTGCTTGCATTTGATAATTATGCAAACTGTAAAGATTACTTTATGTCTTTATTTTATCATATTCTTATTTTTTTAAAACCTACTTTTATGAAAGGGTTAGATCCAAAGATTACCCTCTGCTGATGGAAGGAACATGCACCAACAGAAGAGTGGGGGGGGGATATTTTTGCTAGCTCCCCACAACTGCCAAACCCCTTCCTGGAGATGTATAATTCCTAGAAATTTTGCGATGATGGGAAGCACTTTTTTGGGGGGGAGGGGGACCTTTTCATGGTTAAGACAGATGATCAATAATTCTTACCACTCCTTCACTTCCACTTGATGCTCTTCTATAACAATGACTGTGGGAAAGTCCATATTCGATATCAAGCCTGTTTCACACACACAGGAGAATGAGATAGCAAAAACCCAAAGTGGTAGAAAGAACATCATTTCAAACAGCAGATGGGGGTTACTATCATTTAATGCTCCTCTATGTTAAAACTGCAAAGAGAAGGACAGCACAGCAAACAAAAAGAGGGCAGAAACTTTTTTTCTTGCTGAATTCATTTTTTTATTTGTATGGTGGTTTCTGTCTGAAGACACATTCAGACTGGAAGCCCTTACCTGCAAGTCTGAAGTGGTACAGTCCTTTCTGCCACCTCACTCTGCATGTGTGAACCAAGCTTTACACACTGAAGGAACCTGCCTCTCACTATTGTTGCACTGTCTTTTGTAAACACCATTTAAACACTTCAGTCATTTTCTAACAAAAGTAAAAGTAAATTTCTATTAGAAAATTGCAACCAAAACATAACTGAAAAGATTAGCTTTGTTTCCTCCATGGCAGCAACCACAGATTATGAACTGCTAGTGATCCAACAACGGATGTGATGATAAATAATTCTTTCCCACTTTTAATTTATGCAATATAATTTATTCAGGCCATGGTCCGTAGCAAAATCCTTATTCTATTAGCCAGAATTTTCTTCTGTGCGGATACTTATTTCCACCAACAGGGGGCTCACTCTCCCCCAACAGCTTTTCCTACATAGTCAGTAGACTTCCTGGGTTTGTAGAAATTTTTTTGTCTCAATGTCCTTGAGCTACCCAAATCTTGTCAAAGGTTTTAGGTGTAGAAGCTCAGCAAATGTCCCTGTCATGATCTGGGCTGTGCCACCAGAGGCCTACTCGGCCCAGGGAGCCTGGCTAGCAGTAGGTGAGGCTGGGCTTACAACTCCCAGAAGTTCTGAGAGGTTTTAGAGCCAAAATTGACCAATAGGGAAGAAGAGGGCTGGTGAACAAAAGGGCTGGTGCCAGAGCAGAAGCTGTTCTTTCTTCTAGAGGGCAGAGCCAGAGGGAAGGCTGCTGCAGGAAGAAACCCTCATCCTGAGGGAAGGGTGAGTAGTCTAGTACCACTTGAGATAGTGGGCTAGGGACAGTATATATTAAGACGCGTTAGGGCATTTTATTTATTTTCTTTTCACCCACTTACTGTTATTATTCTGCACCTTGTTGTTTGACCTCCTATAAAATAAACTATTTTCATTGTTCACTCTGCCTGGTCCTCATGCCTATTATTTGGCCAAAAGGGAGGTCTAAAGGTCTTGGGTTAGGGTGTTCTGGGCCTTCTCAAGGGAGCCTGGAACCAGAGTGGTGGCAGTGTCAGGTGACACCCCACCTGAGTCGTGACAGCCCCTATGCACAAAGTTATATTGCATATGTCTGAACCAGGGCTTCACATAGCAGAAATGTGTCTGACTTGCCACTCACTTGCAGAATGACAGGGATATACAATCACTGGAAGACACTGAAAGTAGGAATTGCCGCAAACAGCCATGTCAGAGAGCCATTTGAAAAGGATTCAGTCACAGCAGTGACTCCTGGGTGAATCACAGGAACTTTCTCAGAAATGACAGTTGTAGCATCACTCTGCTAGAAAAGGGACCTATGAGTCTGGGAACACCAATAAAGCACTATGCCTAGATCATCACCAGCACAAGCCATTGATGGAGTCACTTCCTGTAAGTGTGTGTGTGTGTGTGTGTGTGT